GAAACAGTGGCCTCAAACCAAAGGACAATGAAGTTACATCCAAACCTTGGCACTGGCCCATCAACTACCAGGTATATTTATCAATCCACCTTCCTTTCTGTTTTCAAGTGCTTTTACTGCCTTCTTGAAGCATAGAGCCTCTTAATTGCATTGGAGATGTTGTCAGCTTTCTTTTGTAGCACCTGAGCTGCACGGATGGGAATTTGTCTTACCTTTGACACTGTGCAAAATACAAACTGGATTGGTGCAAACCCATCTTACTCCCTTGTGATCTGTTTCCTCAGGGTCTACGTTTTTCTGGTGTCAATGAGACTGATTATCGAGTTTATTTGCTGGGAAACCCGGTACGTTGGAGTAGGAGGTTTCACATCAATGTATTTGGCAAATTTTAGCTTACTCTTGCTTCTGCCATTGACAATGATTCTCTCCCCCTCCTCCTTTTGGACTGTCTTTCTCAATGTTCTCTTATGCTTGCATGTAGCTTTTCATTTCATCTCACATGCACATTCCTATGTCCAGCCTAAAGTCCCAAATCTTTCTTTTTTCCTATGTAGGTTATTTGGTGGCTAAATCTGGTCACTATTGGGTTATATCTTCTGATAGCACTTTCCACTGCAGTGACCCTGAAGAGAGGTGTCCAACTGACATCTGAGCTCAAAGGTGAGGTCAGTCTTCTTATCCCTCCTGCACTATAAAATCCCTATTATAACATCCTGGTTTTGTGATACAGCAAAGCTCATCCTGAGACTCCTGTATGAAAAAAATCTTTTTTTTATATTGTATTGAAACCCTGGGGGTTGCACAAAATACACTGAAGGCAGCTATATGAACAAAACACTAAGCTATATAGTGCTTTGAAAGTGTAGCACTGAACAGTGTGACATGTAAGGAACAAAGGGTTCCTTAGGAGAAGTAATCGCTCTGATGAGTAAATCTCACTTTTTGCATGGCAGACCGTTCCTGATGAGCTGCCAAATTTCCTAAGCCTGTAAGACTTGATTGGAAATCCTGAAGTCGGCAACGGCTCTGAAACACCTACTTAGCCAAAGAGAAAAGCTCTGGAAGTGACTCACAGGCAGGAGATATTATCAGTGGCTCCTCAAAAGTCTTACTAGTCCTCTACTGGAGAGTACAGAGCTGGACTCAGTATAAGCTGGCATCTTAGGGTGATCCAAAGATGTAAGTCTCAGTAGGCTTTTGCTGCCTTGTTTTCTTGGAGGAAACAAGAGCTTGGATTACTCTGTAGCTCATATGCCAGCTGTGCAGGCGATAGCTCAGCCTAGCATGGGAGCTGCTTGTGAACTGCTCAGAAGTCAAGATGTTAGCCACAATTGCTGTCAGTTACATTGATTAGTGCAGCTCAGAAATGTCTAGATGCATATCTATTGGAAAGACTATACTTGATCTGGACATAGCAGTAGGAGAAGCTGATAAAATCTATGTCAGGGAAAGCTTCCTGATGCAGAGATCTACTGATCATGTCATTTTTAGCTGCTTCTACTTTGCAGGCTTCCCATATGTTTATTCTAGTAGAGATACCACATATAGGTTACTGATTATAGGCTTCCTTTTCACAAATGCCTTTTGCAGGCACCTTAAAAGTGTGTGGATGGTGTGACTTTGTGTGCCAAGAGTGGGAAACCACTGAGCTTATGTGATCGAGCAATGGCCACGAGGAAAAGAGTGGGAGCATCATATCACAAATAGTTTAATAGTGAACAGGACAGATCTTCAACAAAAACACTGCAAGGAGCTACCTGTGTTGACTGTAGTGGAGACAGACCAGTTGGACCAATGCCCTGCTCTTGACCTCTGCGTGTTCTGTGTACTGTTGTAGTATGCATGGTGTTGTGAAATGAGAAATGTTTCCTGATATTTATGAAAAGCAAATGACACATGCAAGAGATGCAACGATCCTTTGTCCGATGACAAAGCTGTAGAGCTTTTTACAAACATTAGTAAGTCATACTTGGACCATGCCAGTTTACATCAATGGTTTCTTCATTTTGTAGATCTCTTCGTGGGAAGTGAATGGTAAAATGTGATATGAAACTATTCAGTTACACAATTAATTATTGACTATTCTACATGCAGATGCCAGAGCTCTCAGTCCCTTCCCCAGGCTCTGAATGCTAGTCAACATTTCTTTCCAGGAAAGGCTGGCAAAGTGATCATCTTGATGGCTTGTAGTCTCATTGCAGAGACAATAAAAAGCATCAGAAGCTGTAATGATGTGATTAGTCTGATGTACATCCTGAGAAACTGCAACTGTGGTCCTAATATAGAGCATGGTCAACCTCCTGCTAGTCCCTTGAGACTTAAGCCTTTGTGTATCTTTTTTGATAACTGTTCTGAAGAGTGTTTGTCTGTTTATAAGGAATGCAGCTAGGGTTTTGCAGAGGCTTGGAGCAATTTCAGACCAGTACATGACTTCCTGCAAAGATCATTCCTGTTGCGTTTCCTGACTGTGATAAGGCTTGCAAATTGGAACTGTAGTTGAGTTTTTCTCTGCTAAAGTCTGTTTATGTGTGTTCCAGAACTGTCCAGAGTCGTGCTGTGTGGTGGAGGGCAGATCATGCTGGGCTGGCTTCTTCATTATCTCCCTTTTTTTATGATGGGCCGAGTTCTCTACTTTCACCACTACTTTCCTGCCATGCTTTTTTCCAGCATGTTGACAGGTAAATACTAGAGTCTTGGAGAAGACAATTCTTTTAAATGGGATGTTTTCAGACTAAACAGTATTTTTTTCCCATAGGTTTTCTGCTTGCTTGAGCTTAAAAACATTGACTAATTCAAAATGTCTTTCACAAAGCAGCTTCAGTGCCAAACTGTCTTTTTTTGGTACTGCCCTGAAGAGACAGTCATGTCTAGTGCTTAGGGCATTTAAATTTAGAGACATGATTCTTATTCTCTGCTGTGTCACTGTTCTTACATATGCTTTTATACAGGTTACTTCCCTTTGTTTTCTGCCTCCGCTTTTCTGTCATATCTGTTTATAATTCAGTCTTGGTAGTTTTTCCTACAATTTTGTACCAACTTGGCATGCTGGGGCCTAGATCTCTTTTACATTTATTTAAATGGAAAGGTTAGGAAAAAAGAACTTTCTGATGTTACAAAGCAATCTCTATATTCCTGAAGGTTACCAAGGTAGATGAATTTTAAATTGACAGAGTTTTCTAGTGTTAACAGAGTTTTGTCAGCACAGTCTATGGCTGAACATAGCAGCTTTGTTTTGTCCTCTGCATTGCTCCTGAATTCTACCTCTTCCTTCTCCTAGGAATCACCTGGGACACACTACTGAAGTTCTGTGCTGGCTTCTTGTCACCCAACACTACAGCTAGAAAAGTATATGGAGGAGGCTTCCTGGCACTGGTTCTGCTTATCATGTACAGGTGAGTGCTCAAAGCTGACTTTGTCCTGAATGTAGGCAGTCACTGTTGCAAAGGAAACCTTAGTGCCTGTTAATTATCCTCAGCCTTTGTTTCTTTTCACAGCTTCTACCTCTTCCATCCTCTGTCCTACGGGATGATAGGACCCATGGCCTCTGACCCCAGCAGCCCCATGGCAGGGCTCCGGTGGATGGACTCCTGGGAGTTCTAGAGCCAGCAAAGGGAGCCTGGAAGCAGCAGAGGAGAAGCATGAGGTCTGCTGCATGCAGGCTGATTCTGGTGCTTTGGAGACATGTGACTATGAAATGCCTTCTCTGGAAAACTCTGGGTATAGTAGCCCTGTAGCTTTGGCATTTGTTTGCACTGCCTGCATTGGAAGATGCAGAGGATGAGAAGGTCCTCTTAAAAAGACTCATGTCCTGAATCCTTAGGTTATGTTCCTGGAGACCTGGCTGCTTAAATTTCAATTCTGCTGAGCAATATATATCAGTCAAACAGCAGGGGCATTCCAGCAGGCAGACCAGTACAAGTTGGAGGCTGTGTGTAGTTGCATGTTTACTTTTGTGTGTGTGTGTCTTCCCTTTTGTAATCTAAGCCTCGTTGCAGTTTGAGAGCCAGACAGTGTCTGAGATAATAGGACTTTTATACTCATTAACAACCTTTCTTACACTGAGGTTTTTGAAAGCTTCATGTAAGTATCTGGGGACCTCCATTCTGCCCTGCCTTGGCTGTGTTTTGTTGTGTTTTGTTTTGTTTTGTTTTTTGTTCTGACCCTGAATTTTTAGAATTTGACTGAATGGGGTCTGCTTGAAATCTCTTGAGCCACTGTGCCTTGCCTGTCTTCCTCTGCAGATGGAGGAGATGGAGATTGTTTATCCCTGTATACTGCCTTGCTTTCTGGTCACCTTCAGTCATTTGTGACAGTCACCTAGCAAGCCTGTGCTCACAGCCAGACTGTTCTGGCTCGGTACTTTGTAGCTTCTCTGCAGTTCTGTCTGAAACTGCTCAGGAAATTACAGAGGAAATAGCAGGCAATTTATTTTCTGCCCCAGTGTGCTGTGAAGACCGGCTTCTTGGGGTTGTACTAGAAACTGAAATGATAGCTTGGGAATCTTACAGACAGCTGTCATTCATGTTTTAATCCCGGCTATTGCAGTGGCAGTACCTGTTCTTTTAGGGGGAAGGCTTCATCTTAATGAATGTGGGATCTGCAAACCTGGCTGTCAGTGCTACAGTATCTGTGCGCTGTATTCCAGCAAGTTCCCTCTCATAGATGACTGACCATCAAATTACTGTATTGAAGAAAATGCGAGGCCAGGTAAAAATTCTTTGTCTGCTAAGTGTTAAGAGCCACTGGATGTTGAATCCACCTCTCCAAGAAAGCAGAACACTATTTATCAGGTGCCTTTCTCCTGTGTTAGGTCTATTTTTGTAAACGTTCCTTTCATTCTGTCTCCTACTCTTCACTCGATTTCAATTTCTTGTCACAGTTCAAGGTTCCTACCTTGAATCCAACATGAATGACATTTAGGCCCCAGCCGTGTTCCTGCCTCAAGAAGTAATATTTGCAAAACTCTTTTGTGTACATTTCAAGGAACTCAAGCTTTTATTTCTGAGTTCTTGCTCTGCTTCTCAGCTTTGCATCAAAATTACAGGTACAGGTAAAGCAGCAAGCATGTCCATCTTTAAACATGAATTATGCATTCATTTCTCTTCCTAAACCTTGAATTCTAATGTATTTCCTACAGCAGAAGAGCTGTGTTAGCATAGTTGTCCTATGGGGGGACTGAGACTTCAGTCAGGCTTGCTTTCACTCTTCTCTAATAGAGATCCAGAGCGTTGTTCAGTAAGGCAGCTGCTTGCTATTGTAAGGCTCTGGCTTGATGTGTCACACCTTTCTCTAGAAGTTGACTCCTATAGACACTAACTCAGATGGTACGATGGTATGCTTTTGATTCTAAAGGGTTTGAGTTAATCACCTGCTGGTAGTTCATGGTGGGAATTCATTGAGCTAATTAGCTATGGGGTTTGATGATGCTCTTTCACTTGCTATTGCAGGAAGTGCTCCCACCTGCATAAGCCAGGCGTTCACAGAGGTGATACATAGGCAAGAACGATGAGGGAGAAGCCTGCAAACTTCTTCAGATCCTGCTTGATCTGTCAGCAGCTGCAAATTGTGAACTGTTGGCAACGTGGCAGGCAGGCAGTGCAGTGCTGCCTTTGTAGTGATGTGATTCAGCATCTTCTACGCCTGGTGAGATTATCGTCTTAATACTTTGCTGTCCTGAATATGAGCTTTCCCTAAGGTAGTCCCCTTGCGTGGGGAGGATTGCCAGAAGAGCTGATAAAAGCCGTGATTTAAAGTGTAAGGTTTTTCCAGGCACATACAATCACACGCTCTCCCTTAACACTAACAGCAAAGGAAATGAAGAAACTTGTGAGTGTTTTGGAATAACAGTTTCTAACACTCTTTATTCATCAAATTAAATCTGAGGGAAAGCAAGGACCGACACAGTAACCTTGGTTACTTCAGTTATTATGAAGGGGTCAGCTTTGTAGGAGCTGCCCGAGGAAGATGAGCCAGTGTGTTCCCTGACCACAGTCCCTCTGTCATTTATTGCTAATAATATTTTGGGTGGGGATGGGCGAGCTGAAGGTGGCAAATGTCATGCTCGCATCCCATCTTCCTGCACACAAGCCCAGCTTCTGTTTCAATACAGACAAAGGTTTATTTTTCTTTATACTGCTGTTTCGGAAATCCTCTGAGAGCATTTGATTGGCTTTTGTGTGCTGGTAAGGGGATGGAGGAGTACCGTGAAAAACACCTAGCTATTCCACAAGAGGGAGCAACCGCCAGCAGATTTATGTATGTATGTATGTATTTATTTATTTAAAAAGATGGAGTTAAAAGTATTAAAAGGTCTGCATTTGAAGACTAGAGGGCAGACATTTCCTCTGCACCCTCTTGTCTCCAAACGTTGAGTTTTCAAGTGCATGTAAATTGATGTTGCTCTGTTTTCTTTCAGCAGAAGAATACTGAAAAATAATTACAAGTATTTTACTTAGAATTCGGCCTTCAATATTTGCTTCTCAAAACAGAACCTATCAGGCCATAGCTGGAACACAGTAGTATGCAGTATTTTGTGAGGTCAATAAAGTACAGTAGTTGGGATTCCCTTACTGACTCTGAGTGATGTGGATGCGATGCAATGGGTGCAGCACACTCTGTGCTATTTGGGCTGCTTCAGTTCAGTTTTCCCGTTTGTGCTTGTGGAGTGAGTTCAGGTTCATTCTGAGAACTGCTTATTCCTCTTCTTCCCCGGTCACGTGGAAAAGAGCGAACAGTGCTTTCTGAGACCAGAAGACGCTGTTCTCTGGAGCAGCTGCTCTCTTTGACCTCTGCTTGACAAGGGCTCCTTTTGTCACTGGCAAAGTATTTCATGAAACTGTATCTGTGGATTCAAATCACAGAAAGCTGCAGGCTGCCACATTCCCTGCTTCAGATTCTTTTTTATGTGTAAACTTTGCTTTCACCTCTTCTGTCTTTGGAGGATAGATAGAAGGCCTCTAGGCTTATCTACCTTCATCCTAGTCAGTCCATTCATCTTAAAAGGTTTCTGTTAACAGTAGCTTCAGGACACCGGTGTGCCCACACCTATTCCAGCAGCAGGGACTGGCCTATTTCCAGGAACTGGTCCACTCATGCTATGAGATACGAGGATTTGAATGGAGATTCCTGTGCCAGAGTTGCCCTTGGTCCAGGTGGAGGACTTTTGTGTCATGCACTGCTTACCATCATCAGAGCCCTGTCAGTGAGAGAGTCATGACCACTCTCATCTGCAGAGTTTTCTTACTGCGTCTTGATTGGAAGTGTTTATTGATGCACAAAGAGCATTGACAGGATCTACCTTTTGTATCTCCTTCATTCCTTCTGCTTCTTCAAGTGTGCCCAAGGTACAGGACGTGTCTTTGCTTCTCCTTCAATTTTTAGGCTGTGCATCCATTTCTTACAGGTGCCTGAACAAGGGGTAGGACAGGACACCTCATAGTACCTTGAGTCGGTAAATACCTGAGAGCAAAACCAGAGTCTTCTTGTGGAAAGGTAAACAAATGTGTTATTTGACAGTTCCCTCCTGTCTCCCCTGTATCACTCTGAGAATCATTTTCAAAGGACTTGAGCATGGACCAGCTGTCAGCATGGACACAGGCATTTCCCTGAAATTCTCCATTGCCACGCTTAGTGGCTTCTCTTCCAGTGGCTGTGCCTGTGTGACTTACCCTCTGGGTTGGACTCACCGCACAAGTACCATTATAACACTGTTTCCTCCTCTCAGGATCCTGCTGGCAATGTGAAAATCTCCTTAGCAGTGCCCTGTGCCTCTGCCAGCTGGGGAATATAGGTAAGATTATTTTCTTTTGCCCTTTACAGCAAATGACCCCACACATTGGCAAGTGTGTGTCATGAAAGGAAAAATGTGTGTTTTCCCCTGCGGGAAAGGAAGGCTGAGAATAAGGCCACCACTTCCATAGCACACTTGCTCTTTTCAGGGGGCTGTGGGCCACAAGCAGTCAGGACTGAAAACTGTCTTCTTTAAAGCACTAAGACCTTGGTTGCAGGCTGTGGGCCACAAGCAGTCAGGACTGAAAATTGTCGTCTTTAAAGCACTAAGACCTTGGTTGCTTGGTGGGTTGTGAGTTGCTTTATTTTTTAAACTCCCTTGTGCTCCTTACTTGAATGTCAAGGGCTATGATTGTTACAAATAATATCCAAGGTAGGGGACATACTAGCACAGAAACCACTCCTGCTGATTTTGGTCCTAAAACTTTGCCAAGTGAGTTTGTTGTGTTTTACAAGAGGCGTTGTTCAGAGCCATCCTTGGAGAACTTGCCCCTGGCTGAGCAAGAATTTGGAGCAGCAGTGAGAGGGGTTCTTTTGTAATTCTGTCCTGTATTCTGAACCTTTCTTACTAATGCTGTGTGTGCGTGTGTGTGTGTGTGTGCATCTGTCCATGAACTGAATGTCTTCTAACTGAGGTGTAATTGCTGCACCATACAGTGTGGATGGGAGAATGTTCCCTTGAGCTGTAAATGTATTTTGTACAGGAGATCATGGAAAATTAGGTAGAATTTGGAATTTAATTTTGTAATAAACACTTCTTCTTTCAAGCATTCTCTTTGTGTCTAGATTTTGGGTTGTTTTCTTTGCCCCTT